GTGTTTTTATTTGATATCAGAAGTTTTTGTTTGTTTACATTTGCTTTCATAGGAGCTAATATATACATTTAAATTAAAATTGGTCAATCATAATTTGTAAGCCATTGTATTTAAACAAATTAAGTTAAAAAGGCGTTTAAGTATTTCAAAATACCTTTTAAACGAGGTATAGCACATGTCGGTACCTTTAGTAGTGTAGAACTTACAAACTAACGAAATTTAGCTATTTTTAGCTTTTTCCCGCTAAAGTAGCGGCTTTTTCCAAAAGTCGTAGAACAAAAGATTCCTATATGGAAGTCTTAAGTGCAAATTTACTGATTCCATGACCCTAAAATACAGTTCGGATACCCTCCCACAAAATTCAATACTCAGGGAGCGTTAATTGTTCGAGCTGGCAACAGTGGCTATTTTCGTATAAAAATAACTTTTAAACGTGACTTTTTACAGTAATGTGTTATATACCAAAATTTAAGGAATCTCAAGGGCTACACAGTTTAAGGTTTTAAAGAAAATCGTTAGAGCCGTTTTTGAGAAAAATAAAAAAAGCTAAAAAAAAAAGGTTTAAAAAATTGTCTTTTGTTCATATTTTTTTAACTATTACATTTACACAAATTGATATAGAAGGCGTTTATAGCATTTCAAAATACCTTTCAAACGAGATGCAGCACAAGTCTGTAGCTTTAGTAGTATAGAAGTTACGGCTTTCCAAATTTTAGCTATTTATAGCTGTTTTCCCGCTAAACTAGCGAGTTTTTCCAAAAGTGGTAGAAGAAAAGTTTTTTATATCGATGTGATGAACGTCATATCAAATTTTCAAAACTTAAAAAATCATTTGATTTTATTTCAAATCATTTGAATTGATTTGATTTGATTTGAATCATGATTTGATTGATTTGATTTGATTTGAATCATGATTTGAAATCAAATGAATCATGATTTGAAATCAAATGATTTGAAATCAAATCAATTCAAATCAAATCAAATCAATGATTCAATGATTTCAAATCATGATTCAAATCAAATCAATTCAATGATTTCAAATCATGATTCAAATCAAATCAAATTTGATTTTATTTCAAATCATTTGAATTGATTTGATTTGATTTGAATCATGATTTGAAATCAAATGATTTGAAATCAAATCAATGATTCAATGATTTCAAATCATAATTCAAATCAAATCAAATTTGATTTCAAATCATGATTCAAATTAATTTCAAATTTCATATCATGATTCAAATAAAATCAAATTCAAATCATGATTCAAATCAATTGAATTTGATTTGAATTGATTTGATTTCAAATCATTTGATTTATTTGAATCATGATTCAAATCATTTGATTTTATTTCAAATCATTTGAATTTGATTTGAATCATGATTTGAAACCAAATGAATCAATCAAATGATTTGATTTCAAATTTGATTTCAAATCATGATTCAAATCAATTGAATTGATTTGATTTGAATTGATTTGATTTCAAAGCATTTGATTGATTTGAATCATGATTCAAATCATTTGATTTTATTTCAATTGATTTGAATCATGATTTGAAATCAAATTTGATTTGATTTGAATCATGATTTAAAATCATTGAATCATTTGATTTAAAATCATTTGATTTCAAATCATGATTCAAATCAAATCAAATCATTTGATTGATTCATTTGATTTCAAATCATGATTCATGATTCAAATCAATTCAAATGATTTGAAATAAAATCAAATCAATCAAATGATTTGAAATCAAATCAATTCAAATCAAATTCAATTGATTTGAATCATGAATTTGATTGATTTGAATCATGATTCAAATCATTTAATTTTATTTCAAATCATTTGAATTGATTTGATTTGATTTGAATCATGATTTGATTTGAATCATGATTTGAAATCATCATTTGATTGATTTGAATCATGATTCAAATCATTTGATTTTATTTCAAATCATTTGATTTTATTTCAAATCATTTGAATTGATTTGATTTGATTTGAATCATGATTCAATTCAATTAATTTGAATCATGATTTGAAATCAAATTTGATTCAAATCAAATTCAAATCATGATTCAAATCAATTGAATTTGTTTTGAATTGATTTGATTTCAAATCATTTGAATTTGATTTGAATCATGATTTAAAATCATTGAATTGATTTGATTTGAATCATGATTTGAAATCATTGAATCATTGATTTGATTTGAATTGATTTGATTTCAAATCATTTGAATTTGATTTGAATCATGATTTGAAATCAAATGAATCTCATGATTCAAATCAAATTCAAATGATTTGAAATAAAATCAAATGATTTGAAATAAAATCAAATGATTTGAATCATGATTCAAATCAATCAAATGATTTGAAATCAAATCAATTCAAATCAAAATCAATTGATTTGAATCATGATTTGAATTTGATTTTATTTGAATCATGATTTGAAATCAAATTTGATTTGAATTATGATTTGAAATCATTGAATCATTGATTTGATTTCAAATCATTTGATTGATTTGAATCATGATTCAAATCATTTGATTTTATTTCAAATTATTTAAATTGATTTGATTTGATTTGAATCATGATTTGAAATCAAATGAATCATGATTTGAAATCAAATGATTTGAAATCAAATCAATGATTCAATGATTTCAAATCATAATTCAAATCAAATCAAATTCGGCACGCTGCAATAGAAAATGCCTGTGAAGGGAAAAAGGCTGGAATAGTTTGCTAGGGCGGGCCGAATGAGAAAATATTAGAAAGTCTATTTAATGAAGAGTGTAATAATTTTTCGTCACAAATGTTGATATCAGAACTTTTGTATGTTGAAGGTGCGATCGTCACTAGTTTTATACCTCGTTAAGAGGTGTTTTTATTTGATATCAGAAGTTTTTGTTTGTTTACATTTGCTTTCATAGGAGCTAATATATACATTTAAATTAAAATTGGTCAATCATAATTTGTAAGCCATTGTATTTAAACAAATTAAGTTAAAAAGGCGTTTAAGTATTTCAAAATACCTTTTAAACGAGGTATAGCACATGTCGGTACCTTTAGTAGTGTAGAACTTACAAACTAACGAAATTTAGCTATTTTTAGCTTTTTCCCGCTAAAGTAGCGGCTTTTTCCAAAAGTCGTAGAACAAAAGATTCCTATATGGAACTCTTAAGTGCAAATTTACTGATTCCATGACCCTAAAATACAGTTCGGATACCCTCACACAAAATTCAATACCCAGGAAGCTTTAGTTGTTCGAGCTGGCAAAAGTGGCTATTTTCGTATAAAAATAACTTTTAAACGTGACTTTTTACAGTAATGTGTTATATACCAAAATTTAAGGAATCTCAAGGGCTATATAGTTTCAAGTTTTCAAGAAAATCGTTAGAGCCGTTTTTTTGAGAAAAATAAAAAAAAAGCTAAAAAAAGTTTTAAAAAATTGTCTTTTGTTCATATCTTTTTAATTATTACATTTACACAAATTGCATATAGAAGGAGTTTATAGCATTTAAAAATACCTTTCAAACAAGATGCAGCACAAGTCTGTAGCTTTAGTAGTATAGAAGTTACGGTTTTCCGAATTTTAGCTATTTATAGCTGTTTTCCCGCTAAACTAGCGAGTTTTTCCAAAAGTGGTAGAACAAAAGTTTTTTATATCGATGGGATGAACGTCATATTAAATTTTCAAAACTTAAGAAACATGTTTTGGACAAACTGACAAACAGAATTAAATTTTCATTTTGGGAAGAAGAAGGAAATCTTATTTTGGCTATAACTTTTGAACGGAGCGTCGGATTTTGACAAATGACCCCTCATTCGACGGGTATTTTCAAAAGGAATACAACTAAAACATTGCGAGGGGGGAATTTATCCCCACCGGCCCCAACAGCTGCAAATTTCGAAATTTTCATTTTTTCACTTTCACCGCTCTCTCTCCCAAGCCAATTGATTTTCTTAAAGTCTTGGTATGCAATCCTTTAAGTTATTGCAATACCTTTCGATTGGTGTATTACTCATTACGATCGGACTATCACAGCAGATTTTCAATTTTGCGGCTATATAATAGTAGTCGCCTTCGCACACTCTCCTGGTGCGCTTCGTCACTACATGGACTGCCGTCCATAGTGATAAAACTATATTAAACATCATTGGTGTGCGCCTAAGTAGTTTCAATAAAAGCATTTTCAACTCGATTAAATTTCTCATTAAAAACAAATCATTCTTTTTAAATTTATGTTTAAATTTTATATTTATTTTAAATAGTGTACATATAAATAAGAAACGTGGAAAATAAAGTTACAAGTTTAGCTATTTTCATTAAATTATATTTATCAGCACTGCTCCCCATATGGTAGGCCCACCATAAGCCCAAAAGGCCCGGCGTACGTGTGTTATTTAATGCTTATCTTTATCCTTTTCCCATTAGTGTTATTGATGTTGGCAGCGGGGGCTCGTTGTCAACCTGCTCCTGCTCCCAAAACTTCCTCACAGGTGCTCCTCCCGATAAACTTGCCCTCCGGCTAAGCGCTGACAATTGATGCCAAGGATACTCCAGCCAAATCACGCGCTAAACATTATTTTAATGTCCCCAGGCAGTCACATATGTATATTTGAGTCGGCAGCTTTTCCCTCTTTGTTTCGCATTGCTGGGGAGTTTTTCCGGGAATGTTTAAAGTCCTGCCAACTCATTTCCCGGAATTTGCGTGTGCGTCAAGAGGACCCTTGGGGACAAATATTCTCACCGTATCGAACAGGGTTGCGTCCTTGAAGGATTTGTGCTTGAAATATAAATAGAAGTTCTGGTTATTGGAAATTAAATTTCTACGTATTTAAAAAAAAAAGTATTTATTATAAGGCTACCTCAAAAGTTTTCAACACTACTTTCTAGTTTTGAAAGTCCCCAGGAAGGAGGGTACAGTAAATGCACCCCTGGGCCCGACGACCGATAATCTCGGCTGGCCCTGACAATTTCATCTCTTTGACAGACAAGACCGGAAAGTATTTGTGTTTGTTATGTAGCTTTCGACTGGTGGAGAAACCGTTCACACATTTTAAACACCGATTCCCAACAAATTCAAATGTTTTGCCAACATTTCGTATTAGAATAGTAGCACAGAAAATAAGAAGCGGTCGAGGAATTGTGCGCGACCCCAAGTGTATTAAACCCCTTCTGACTTCAACGACCACCCGAGTTCTCTATTTTCTATGTAAAGCGACGAGCCAAAGAGCCGAAAAAAACGAAAAGCCCGTCAGAGGAGGACCCGATGTGCTAGCTAGAGAGGCCAGGTCCACAGCCACATCCAGACGAGACCCAAGGAACAGAAAGAAGAAGAAGAAGCCGCCCAGCCAGTGAGTCAGAGAACCGAGAAAGGAGCAGTCAGATTCCAGACATGTGGTCCGGTCGCTACAAGACGCGTCCGCAGGTGCGGCTGCCCGTGATCCACGAGCAGATCGCGATGCAGTGCGCCCGGAACATAGTGCGTGTGGCCTCCGCCATGCCGCAGCCGCAGCCCCGCTGCCCCTCCGGCCATGTGGCCGTGCTCGTGGAGCTGCGCCGCGTCGACGAGCCGACGGTCCACCGCTACCAGGTGAATGTACCGTCCGCGGGCTTTCCGCCCATGGAACCGCCGGGTGAGGAGGGGCAGCGCCTCCAGCAGCTGGTGCTCCCCGGAACCCTGGAAGCGATGGGCTGCAAGCTGCCCCAGCCGGAGCGGCCGCCGTGTCCCATGCACGGACGTACCGTCTTGGAGCCCTCCAGTGCCACCGACAGCTGGTCGCCGGGCTCCCACTCCGGGCCACCGCCGTTGCTGATGTCGCAGAGCTCCATGCACGTGGTCGGTGGTCCAAACTCCCTGGACTTCACCACCTTCAGTGAGCCCGTGGTGACTGCCGAATCGCCGGATGGCATTCGGGCGCACTTCATGGCCAGTCTCTACCAGCAGCAACCCAGTCCGCTGAGCTACTCGGACATCTGGGTGCAGGAGGGAGCTCCTCCCCCCCCGAGGGAGATCGCATCCCACCTCCGCCCGCAGCTGTGCTTGGGGGAGAACAACGAGTATGTGGCCAGCAAGGAGGCCAGGCCCATCAACGGGGTCAAGGCGGCTCCCAAGAGGCCTCCAGCAAATGACCCACGCAAGATGGCCGAACTGTGCCTGGACAGCAACGGAGAGTACGTGCCCAATGAGCAGCTGCAGCGTACTTTCAACAGGACTTCGAACTCGCACCCAATCCACGACGGAATGCGGAGGGAGCAACGCTACTATGGGCAACATCAGAGCCACCAGGAGAAGTCGCCGACCAAGGGACTCAACGGCTTCAAGGACGACCTCGGCGGCTATGGTTACGTCGGCAAGGAGGTCGGTAAGCCCAGGAACGGCTACAAGGATCAGCCGCTGGCATTTCCGGAGCCAGGGAATGTCCTGCGGCAAGTGCAGCCGCAGGATCCGAGCCAAATGCTGGGTCGCGTGGCGATGATCGAGCCGCGCGTGCGCCAGAAAGCGACCTCGGAGCCGCAGGACAAGCCGTCCTTGCCCAATGTACCAGGTGAGATGAGGCCCCTGTCAGCTCATTTAACTCCGGAAAATCAACCATTGAATTTCACTGATTTTAGCCAGGATTAATTGCTAAATAGTCGACTGACTAGATTTAAAATATTATTAAAAAGACTTTAAAATCTCAACGTTCGAATTATTTGTCTGAAAAACCGAAGGCTATTTAATTCTTAGGGTGCAGAGTCTCAGTAATTATGCTGACACTATATTTTTTTGAAATAAAAAAAAACAAGGAAGCTTGCTCACTTCGGGTAGCCGAAGCTTATATACCCTTGCATATCATTCCTATTAAAATACAAATTACAAAATGTTAAATTTTGTATTATTTTGACATTATTTTGTCGTTCCTTTCTATGATGGCTATATAATATTGTCGTCCGATTATTGCTATATTTTATTCGTAATTCTATAATATTAAAAAAGAGTCATACAGAGTAGAAGAGAATATAATAAAAACCGATGGAGCTATATTTTGTTTTAAAACAATTTCCCTTAATTTTCCGAATTTGATAAAATCAAATTGGAAATTAAGAATTTTAAAAAAATGTTAGTACGAGGTTATATTTCAAAAACTATAAGCTTGCGGAGGAGATGTTATATGAATAAGTTGTCAGATCTGGCTGGTTCCGACATAAGAAAGAAGACTCTTGGGAAAGTTTCATTCCGATAGCTTCAAAACTAAGAGACTAGTTTGCGTAGAAACGGGCGGACGGACAGACGGACGGACAGACGGACGGACGGACAGACGGACATGGCTAGATTGACTCGTTTAGTGATGCTGATCAAGGGTATACAAATAAATTAGGTTCGGGATTAATTTCAAAGAGTAGTGCAAGAGTTCAAGTTTTCTTTTAATAACAAGAGAAACCGCTATAGTCGGGTGTCCCGACTATCATATACCCGTTACTCAGCTAAAGGGAGTGCAAGGGAGATGGAGATAGAAAACTTTGATCGGGCATAACTTTTTAACGAATGGTCCGATTTAAAAAGTTTCTTCTACATCTCGATAGGTATTGATAAACACCATAAAACTGCATTTTTACTTTTCTGAATTCTTGAAATGTGTGACGCCAGACACCTTTTAAAATCGACGGACAGACGGACATGGCTAGATCGACTCGGCTAGTGACCCTGATCGAGAATATATATATACCTTATAGGGTTGGAAATGCTTCCTTTTAGCTGTTACATACTTTTGCACGAATACAATATACCCTTTTACTCTACGAGTAACGGTTATAAAAACTAAACTTACTCAATCGCTTTATTCCTAAATAGTAGTTCCATCGATGTCATTAGCGATTGAGCCTAATTTTAGGTTATTTAGTTTTCATAGATTTAGTTTGACCCAAAAAAAAACCTTCAGTGCACTCCTTTCAGTTAAATTTAATTTATTTCCGCAGAAGTGGCTGCGCCCTCGGAGCCACCTCCGACTTATCCGCAGGAGCTGCAGGCGCTCTTCCGCTGGAACTACTGCGCCCTGTGCCACACGGTCATGCGGACGGAGCGCAATGCGGTGGACCACTACTCGTCGCGGGCCCACGAGCGCAGGATCAGCTCCTGGCTGGTGCGCCAGTTCTCCGCCGGCGGCCAGGCCCGTCAGGATGTGGCAGCCGCCATTGGCGTGTCGGAGGAGACGCTGCAGAACATGCGCACCGCTCGCCCCACGGACTTCTACTGCGACCTGTGCGACCTCAAGCTGACCTCGCTGATGCACGCCCAGCAGCACTTCTTCGGGCGCCGCCACCGCATGGTGGCCCGCCAGATGACCAAGCCGAACGGCGAGGGCTTCTACGACCCGGAGGGCAGGTGGGTGCGCACCGACGCCAAGTTGCTCATGTGCGAGCTGTGCGACGTGAGCATCACCTCGGAGTCCCAGATGGCCATGCACATGGCAGGCGCTCGTCACCGGAGGCGCGTGCACACTGTTTTTGCAGGGGGCTCCGCCGGAGCTCTGACCCTGGGCGTGGGCCCCCTCCTCGCCCCCTTCGATGACGGGCGCCTGTTCCGGGTGAACGCCAACGGATCCCTGGCCCCCGCCCCCCTGAGGCCCTTGGGCCTGCAGATCCTCCCAGCCCCCCAGCCGCTGCCCCTGAGCGATCCGAGTGCCGCCTTCTACTGCGAGACGTGCAACATCACGCTGAACCACGTGAAGTCGCTAAAGCAGCACGAGCTGGGGCGCATGCACCGCCGCAATCTCCACCGGCTGCCGGGACAACCGGTCTTCTATGAGTGACCTGACGGCGGCCTGGCGGACTGAGGGGATGGGAGATATCAGACGGAGAGCAGAGGAAGGAACCGCCAAAAGGCACTAGTCAACCAGCAAAGTGAGGGAGGTGCGGGGAAGAGAGCCTTTGGATACCGCGAATTATAAAATCTGAAGTCCGGAGACCAGGAGTTCCCGCACCCACTCACCCACCCACCGGCGGATTTTCTTGCTGAGCTGTGTGTTATTTGCAATTTATTTTTGATCTATCTACTTTTTTTTATATGTTTTCTAGTAGTATAATAAATATCCCCCAAAAACCGCAGAGCTGAAGGTTAATATTAAAGAGGTTAAGTTTCAGTGTGGATTTAAATATTGTTCTAAAATCTGCAAAAACTACATTTACTACATTTATTAACAAGTAGTAAGAAAGCAATTAAATTGATAATCTATAATCTTGATTTCTTTATTTCACACATGACAACCTTAATTCAAAATTCATTGCATACTTGTGAGCTGCCGAAAAAAATACAGCTACATGTTGCTGCAACATAAATGTTGCTACAAAAAGTCTTTGAAAAATATAATTTTTTTTACGGGTTTTAATAGTTTTTCGAACAACTGCGTTGTCAGTTTCTTTGGTTATTCCCTACATACATATATCTTTTAAAAACGATTTGTGTAATTTGAACTAAATTGTGCTCTGTAATTTAGTTACTTTTAAGCAACGCCAATTTGCTCGGTGTAAGCCAAATAACTAAATGAAATTCATTGAAATCGAACTATCTTCAGTTTTGAAGGCAACGATGTTGAAATAAATTTAGTTATGCTTCTATTATTTGATTTGCGTGGTTATATTCTTAAAGTCAAAATTTTATACAATTAAACTGCATTTGAAATAGAACCGACACCTTATATATCATATGACTTATTATTCAACAAGTAGGGGAGAGTGGGGGAATTTCGTCAGCATTTTTTCAAAGCTATTTTTTGTCCATCTTGAGACACGTTATCATATTTCTATTTTTATTGTTGAATGCGGTTAGCACCAAGCTTTAAAATGTGACATTTCCCTATTTTTTTAATTAGCTTGGTGATTTATAAAAAAATAAAATGTAAAACCAATATACTGGGGCAATCTCACCACACAGGGGGGTAAAATCACCACACAACTGGGGAAATTTCGTCACCTGAAAAATGTAGGGAGTTTAACGCCTGAAAATATGCTACACTGATCAAGCGTACCATTTTTGTTGACGTCCTATATTTGTTGCTGCTGCTGGTAGTCTGTTCGTTAGCCAGCTCGTCAAATATAAAAATATGTATTTAAAATAGGTGCGAATTTACCCTTAGCGTAGGGTGGCGAAATTTCCCCAGACCGTGCTTTTTTAGAAATAATTATTTTTCTTGCGAAATTAGGCGCGAAGTTAAAAATCACTGACGCAGAAATGCACATTATAGCACTGTGTATTATATAAAAAATCGTGTATCTTATTCCTTTTGAATTGTGGCATACAGAAAAAATTTCGTCGAGAACTAAATGTAGCTTTTGAACTGTTAAAACACATTTAATATTATAGCTTAATTATCTTGGCCTTCTGTGCAAAACAAATGCATTGGTTGTGTCTGGCCGTCTTGAAGGACTAAAACAAAAAAATTATATATTTTTACGACTTATGGATTCCGAGATATTGCAGGTGACGAAATTGCCCCTGTGACGAAATTCCCCCACTCTCCCCTAGATTTTTTTTTTAAATCAAGGATCAATTGATTATTTTTTAAAAATTTGTGGGATTGCGTAGTGATTTCTGTGAGCAGTAGTATACTTCACAATAGGTAGTCCTGAAAACCCCCCACTCAAGCAAGTTCCGTATCCGCCACTGGACGGAAGGAACTATCAACACTTCCGGGCTTAATTAATGATGCGATCCACTCACTCCCGCCGCACGGCAGAAATGTCTGGAATCTTTGCTTTTAATTGCCAGCCTGCTTATGCAGAGGCACGCTCCTCTGGCCGCTGGTTTTTGGTTTCTGCCAGACGGAAATGGCATAAAATCCGATGGGGCTGCCACTGTGGCAGTGGCTACAGGCTGCAGACTGCAGACAATGGTGGCCATAAAAAGGAGTTATCGCTTGACAAATATCGGAGAGAGTGCCGCCCGACCACAGTGTCAGTCAGCGAGGGTCTAGACAAAACATGGCGCTAAATAAATAAATAGTAGCGACAACAGTGAAAAAATCCCACTCATTGACAACCACAAAAACGGAAAAGAGACTTCGGCCGAAATTTATGGCCAATTTTTGCTGGGCCGCTACTTTGTTTGGGTTTGAAGTTCGCCGCCGTGCAAGGTCAATAGCAGCTGGGGGCGGCGTGTGAACTGTGGGCGTGGCCAGGGCCCGCCACATCCTGGAACCAGTGTAGTCTGGTTATCTACTGTATTTATACCATTTGGCGTCTGGTCCGCCGGCAGACGGCAGAAGCTTCAAACATGTTTTCGCATAAATTAAACTTCTTATCTGGCTGTAAAACATTTGACGCCATTCCTGGTGTTGTTGCATTTTGCCCGATTGCAGTCCGGAAATGTGCGTATAAGCGGCAACAATAAACACTGTATTAAATATAAAAAACAACAATAGGCACAGGAGGAGAACGAGGGCGCGAAATATAAATAAATATTGCCGGGAAATGGACATTTTTATCGATGATACAGTTAATGATATAACCCTTGTCCGAATGCACATTGTACAATCCATATGTGGCTCGATGACAGTCGGACTTTAAATTCGTGGGGAAACTGATGGCAGATGACCTGGAGCTGAATAATAATTCACTTTTAAGTGTTTCCATTAAAATAAAACGGCAATATAATGAAGGAACGAAAAACCATTACGGAAACCAATTGCTTATGTTTGATATTTATTAATGTTATCAGAAATATGAATACAATTCGTAATAAAAATAATTTAAATATAATTTAAGAGTTTTTACCTAATTTCATTAGGCTCTGGAAAATATTAACATTTTTTTTTTCGAATTAAAAGTTTCAATGAAATTCACTTCAATATTAATTATTGCATAATTAAACAAAATTTCAAATACATGTCGTTGGCAGACATGTTTTTACGCATTCCCATCTATATTAGCTGTAGTCCCCTTAAAATTGTGCTGGGTTTGTGTACAACTGTGTAAACAAATTAATTATGCAACTTTGTGGCTGAACAAACCGAACCCCTTCACTCGTTTTCCCCTGCCCATGCCCACTTGCTCTCGCTCAATAAAATATCCTTTCAACATATTTCAGCATAAACATTCGCATTTCCACGTTTCCCTGCCCCTCGGGCCGGCTGGAAAACGGTCGCTTGAATCGCTCAGGCGTAAGGAAATTTATGCGTGGCAAAACCAAGCCCCAAACCGAAACCAAAACACATTCTCCAGGGCAAACTCTCGACGCTGGCGACTAATTTGCATTCGCATGGCCCACAGATATGCCAACGGCCACAGCGCAAAGATACAGATACACGGGTCCAGATACAAATGCAGCTTGCATCCGTGCAATTAACATAATTTCGGCAAAACGCTCACTCCGACAAAATGCTGAGGTAGTTTTGGCCATTTGCATTTTAAATATTGCTACTGAATTTTCGATTACGTTTCTGTTATTCCAATTGTCTTTGTTTATAGCTTGATTAAAACAATAGAAATTTCTCTTCTATATCTTGTGAAAGATCTTTATTAGCTTTAACTTTAAATCATATGCAATGATGTTAGCTACAAATGTCTTATTACAATCTGCCCAGCTCGAATATTTGGCTATACGTTATGTGATCGTTTTCTTGTCAAAGCCTAATAAACATTTTTTATTCGTTAGTTTTTGCCGGCGGTCGCTTACCGTCTTTATGGCACTTATTACGGGGTCTGTCGAAGTTGTGTCAAAACTAGACTCAGATTTCCCAAAGGGTGTGTTGGGGATCAGCGCAAAAGGTTCAAAGCGTGTGAAGTGCTTATTGTTTTGCTGTCTCTGCGGAATTATATAAAATGCTTTTAATGTTTTTAATTGTTACGTGTTTCGCGCACTTTGTGTGTCACAAAAAGTGAGTGTGTGAAGAAGGGGGCGACGTTTATGGCAGTTAATAAAGCCAGAACCTGCTTGGGGAAAGACTATTATATGACTGGCTAATTAGCAGAGCTCGAGTTTGAATGCTATCAAAAATTGGACTACTTATCTTGTACCTGACCTATAAACATTTTTACAACTGCAAGGCTATAGGCATTTTAGCTGCTGAAGTGTATTTTTTAAAACCCGTTTTCGACACAAAATGTCATTGGTTTAAAAATTTTGATGCAAAAAAAATGTTTAGCCGAAAATGTAATAAACAGTTTTTATTGTTCGATTCTATATGACTTTAATAAAAACAAATAGTTCACTCCAAATCTCGATTGGCACTTTATTAGTAGCTTTAGAGGAGCACCACCATATCACCTAACGTCGCACCTCACATCATCGCGATGCCATCTTTCTGCCTCGTCATCTGCAACAAGCGCTTACAAATTGAACAAGACGTTGATTAGAATTCGCATTTCGCGACATTAACAAACAAATCCCCTGAGATGGAGCCGACATCTAGTTTGGAGACCCAGCAATCTTTCGGGATGGGATATGTGTCAATCGAACGATCGGGGCAGCGGCGAGCAAACAAAAACACTCACAGCAGGGGCCGCCAAAACCTGATGGCTGGGAAATTGTTTTTGTTTTGGCATTTTTGCGCACAAATATTGCAAGAAATGCAAACAGGAACAGAGCCTGTTGCCTGGTACCATGACACATTTACCAACATTTTCGTTGTTGTTACTGGCGGATGACAAATCTGGCAAGGCATTCGGGCCCACCTGTGGTTGTTATTATTGTGGCACGGAAAAGCAAACAAACAACACCGCTGGGGCTCTGTCCCGTGTCTCGTGCCCCGTGTCTCGTCGCTGCCTGCCGTTTTGCCATCACATCCAAAATAAAATAAAAGTTGGCTCAAAAACTGCAATAGCCTAATTTTTAAAAAAGAATTGGCAATGCTCTACTTTATTTTGTGTGTTTGTAAAATTGTTGAATCGGCAAATTGATGTATTTCACTATTTATTATTGCTAAATTTAATAATTGTTTCTTAATTATTATCAACAAATTATTTAACTTTTTTTCCAAAAAAAACTTATATAACAACTTCTTAGAAAAATATGGTTTCTATAAATACTGCTAAGACGAAGATGCTAACCAAATTAAAACACAGTAATGAAATAACGCTAATTCTAAACTATTAAGAAAAAAAAACTGTAGTTTCCGGCATCCAAGTAAGCAGTTCACATTCCTTTAAGTCCGAATCGCTTTCAACACTTGCCTACAGCTTCCCTTGTCGTGAAAGCAACTACCTGAAATTCAGTTGTTCATCGAGGAAAAGTTTCTTTTAAATTTCAAAACTCATAATACAGAACATATAGAATGGTGCGAACAAGGCGATCGAAGAGAGCAAGGAGGGTTCCCATGGAAGATACGGCCAATTTCGGCGAAGATACTGAGTTGCAAGCACTTCTGCTGGAGATTATACGTATTCTGGATGGAATTCCTGAAGCAGCTTGATGTGTATCCATGTGAAGAAAAAGTTCGTAGAGGGGTTGATGTGGTGTTACATTTGTTATCAGAGTCCAGAGGCAAACCTTAACTTTAATTAAATTTCGATGGCCAAAAACGTTGTGTATTTGTGCAGCTTTTCAGCTTTGTAGAGTACACTCAAAACGACTTTCGATGTCGCCATTAGCAGAGTTTTCTCGGTTTGGAAAATTGTGTCCGAGAAGACGGAAAGAGACGGAGCAACTCTGCCGCCTGGCTGGAAGGTTATATAATAACAGGCCAGTCGGTCGATGGAGAGAAGCGACCCGAGTGGGCTGCCACTGCATTTGCGACTGCAAAATAGTTAGTGCAATCAACCTGAAATTGGAATGCCATGCAATTGGAATTCGTTACCAAATATTGATGACAGTAATAGCCGCAGCCGAGGGTTCCCAAGTTTCTGAGAGTAAGAAATCACTTTACATAATCGCCAGTCAGTCGGCTGCTTATCGGCCCCGGGAGAAGAGCCCGAACCGCTAATAAAATACCTCAAACTACCATGTTACGCAGACCCCAAGTTGGGTGATAGAAAACGCCCCACCGTCGGACTGATTGTAGTCATTTGGTCGGGACTCGCAGTTAGTGTGGGTGTGCGGCAGGCGCCACAATTAAGTGGCGGCTTTGCATACCCATAAGGCGTATCCTTTCGAGAAGTGGCTGTCTGGATGGTTCCTCATCCAAGTGGGTCTCAGCTTTGATTTTGGCGGATAGAATGCAGCTAAGCGGGTCAAGCCACAATTTATTCACAAAATAGGCTAAGGGTGTTTTTACTATAGCAACTTGGCTTTAGTTATCGAGGTCATTATGATTCCTGCGACAATTTATCATTTTTTTTCCAGATTATAGGTTTTAAACTTTTTTATTGTAATATATCAAAAATAGTATTGAAAACTTTGGATGGCAAAATGCGTAAAATGAAATACATTTTTTCCGAGCCTACTCTATTTTACATAAAATATTTACTCAAAAATTAAGACATTTTGTTTTGATTCATGTGAGTTTTAGGCTTAAAACTTGTATGAACTGAAGCGCCTTATAAAAAACAAAGTATTTCATATTGAAACGTGGTGTTCTTATAGATACTTAAGTTGCACGTGTGTTGTCTGTAATCACACTTAAACTTTTCCGTTCTAACATTAAGCTGTCTATAAAAATGTAATTTGTTTCCATATGCCCATTAAGAGATTAATCGCTCGAGGCCTTGACGCCTTAGAACAAAAGGTTTCTTAGCCAGGGGACGGCACTAATCATCCGTTCGTTCCCCGGGCTAGAAGTTCGGAGCAATTGGGAGCGGATTAAGGGCCATTAAAGCGTAAGCGCTATAATAAAGTCGCTCCCCAGCAGTTAAACCCAACCCGGAGCGATGTCAAGTGCGCTAATTAAGCACTTCTGGCACTATGCTCAGACACATAAGTGAGCGGAATATGATATGGAAATGAGATGGTCGGCCGGAAAGTGTGTCAACCATAAGGCAAACACCGAAAGACTCGCAAGTAAACTCCTGGCAAGGCCACAAACAAGAAGCTGGGGACAACAGAGAAATTACCGACCGGCAAAAAGCTTGGACGTCAACTTACCCCTTTTCCCTCTGCTCTCAATAAAAATTTCAGTGTCACGCTGCAAAACAAAAATTACAAAAATTCGACTGCAACAGCCAAACAAATTACAAAAAAAAAAAAACAAAATAACTCTCGCCTTGCGACCTTGAGATTGGCGGCATTAACCCATTACGGAACAGAGGGTTATTTTCCACAGCACCACAATTAGTGCTGAGCGAGGGTAAGCGCTTTATTTAAGTTTTTTGGCTTACAGATTTATTATACATCATAAATTTTAAATAAATGTTGATTAGTTTTAATATTGCGTTCCCAATAATATTCAATATTTTATTAATGCTCAAACAATGAGCTCGATAATGTATAAACTTTTTGGAAATATTGCAATTTGTTCATTTTATTTAATTTACTTCAAACAATTTTAAGACATTTTTATACTTTTCTCAAAGAGCTTTATGGGTTAAGTCGCAACACTACGATAAGTTCAGTTGATATCAACAATTTTTGTTGCCGCCAAAAATCCAATGCACAAAATGTTGTAAGAATCTCAACGAAGCCAAAAAGCCCCAGATACTCGTAATTGCCGTCGTAACAATCCGAGCGAGATAATGACGAACAGCACAGCAGCACAACAACAATAATCACGGCAACCAAAAGAAGTTGATGGCCCTGCTCCTGCCCCACAATTGATTGCATGTGGCACGTGTTCACGGCATTCCTCCAAGTCCAAGTCCGATGGTCATGCGATTCTGTTGCACACTCAATGGCACTGCAATGCAATTGCTCGCCTTGAAATTGCAGATCATATGTGATCATTCGACATCGCTGATCGATTTAGTTTGATTTTATTGTGTGGTCATGTCTACTATTTGTTGCTAAGAGAAAACTGAAATTTTGTCTTGCACAACTTCTTTTGTTTCTAAAAGAATATGTTGGTTATTTTTATATTTATCATTAGCTGCAACTGATTTTATATGTACATCCATAATCACAAATCAACCAAAAAGGCAATATGGCCACCTAAAAAAAAATATAAAAATCTTTAAGAGATTCTTGGAGGGCAGCTTACTAAGCGTTCGCGAAGCTTCCTTGCCTCTTTATCTTTTTTTCGCCACTTTTGATTACCGCTCGGATGTGGTAAGAATGCATGTAAAAATGGTTATTGAATTTATGATTAATGCCTGTGCGCAGTTGTCATTGAGGGCCCGACAAATTGGCCGGCCAAGGCCAACCGGTGCGGCAAGAAATGCGAGATAAACGGGAAGAGATCGTTGCCAAAGTTGGTGGGAACAGAAATCAGACAAGCCAACACAAGGCCCAGTGAATGATCCCAAGCTGCAGATGGCAAAAGAGACGGCGAAATATAAACAAAACAAATGAGGGGCAATCACAACAAATAGCGCAATGATATGTTATACTGGGGGGATATGGTGGGGTGGCTGTGGTGCTCCCGAACTCCCGCCTTCAGCCAGGCGCGGCATGAAGCAAAATAGTGTGTAATTCAGCCTGCATTTTAATTTGGCCAAATGCAGACGTAACCCGATGCCAGGCCAAGTATTTCGTCAGTCGGGGTCTTGGGATGGGGGCTTCAATTGCAATTACCTTGGCGGCAACGGCAACAGCAACCGAACACGCAACCGAGTCAGTAAGACGCTCGGGACGTGGACGTGCCAAACGATCCAACGCCTAACGGCTAAACGGATCGAACCCAGAGACAAACCCAGTCCAACCAAAAAACTTTTGCGGCCGGAGCAATGCGAAACGAAACGAAAGACTTAGGCAAAAAACTCGCTTGGCACGCGCCAAACTTTGAGTAAAATGGTGGCGGGAGGGGGTGTATATGTTGCATTGGGGGCGGCGAACATATCGGCTCGATCAGCTGACTAGTTTGGGCGAGTTGAGCTAGGTCGGCAAAACCAACACACAGGGAAAAATTAAATTTAGATTTATATCTTGGCTGTATAAAAACAACTTATGAATTTTAATTAAGCTTTAGGAAAATTTGTAAGCCAGTTTATTATACCTTTGAGGTATTCTGTAACTTTGGCTTACTGATTTTTGTAAAGAACTGATACTGGTAGGTAAATATAACTTAATAGTCGAGGAAATATCTCTGGGGCCTTAAATACAAAACAACATTTTTTTAAATGTAAATTATGAATTTAAATATTTGCAGTGCACCCGAAAATATAAAAATCACACAAGTAGCATATACATTACATTTAAAGCCTTAACAAAAAAAAACAAGAAATTGATAGCAGCTCTAGCTGGCCTTAAGTCCCCACTTAAGCTGATTGTTTACCATCCACAAGCTCGAGATCCACAAGCACCGGCTCGAACACGTTGGCCCGCAGATCGTGGCTGCAATTCGAGCCTAGCTCAGTTCATTCTGCCTACGAATCGGCCAGTCAAGCCCCGAGTATCAAGCCAGACGGTTGCCATCGCAGTTGTTGTCCCGCGCAGACCCCCAATATCAAGTGATCCGAAATACCCGTATTTAACCGCTCTCCGTGGGAAAACCTTCCACAGCTGGTCGATCCAAAGGATACCGGCGAGTCAATCGGAGTGCCTCAAACGGAGTGCCACACGTAACTGCCAAGTGTGACGAAAGCGGGAGAAAAAGATAGTGGCGACGTAACCGTTACGCTTAAGTGCAAGCAACTGTTGCATTTGCCAATTTGCCCCATTTTGTGTGTCCGACTGAGCGTGAGTCAGTCAGCGAGTGAGTGAGTGAGTGAGTGCCTGGAGTGAGTGTCGAAGTGAGTGTCGCCTGGGGCGCCTGACTGTCTGATTGTCTGGAGTGGGGTGTGATTGCACCGGTTTCGGCCTTGTGATGCGGCCCACCGTCGAGGTCAAGGGGCGCCTGCTCATGACTCTGTTGCTGCACTGCCTCGTGGCTCTGGAGGTCTGCGGACGGGCCGGTGCCTTTACGCTCCTCTCGCCATTCAGCTACAGCTCGCTGAGCTTCAAGAACCTGTTAAACTCCGTCCTGCTGTCGAGCAACGCCAACCTGGCCGGCGGCGGAAGGAACCTCAAGTCGGATGTCCTCGAGGATGCCTCACTCATCACGGTGAGTTCTGGGAAGAATATGAAACAACTAAGAGGATACAAAAGGTTGTATCGATTCCTCCTAAGGGTCTTCTTACAATCTGAATTTTGGATTTATTATCGTAAAAATCACACAAAAAGCACTTTTTTTGGGAATAGACAAGATCGGTTAATTCTTGTAAATTTTTATCAACAAACTTTGACTTATCTGTCAGTTTTTGAAACTCAGAAATTCAGAATATGGATTTTGTAGCGTATGGAATGACAACAACATTTCGATTACAAATGCCAAATGAATTTTTACTATAAATCATTAAATTACTATACCTAATATCCAGATGTCAGAAAACCTCAAAGAGTGGTTTGTTCATGAAAATTCATAGTCCATTTATTCTTAAAGTAAGTTCGAATTCACTCCTGTTAGTGAATTTACATTTGTCATTAGATCATTACGTTTAAGCT